GGAGGAAAGGTTTTTTACGTGTTGAGACTTGAGAGACAGAGAGGGAGGAAAGTTTTGTATATGTTGACAGGGAGAGAGGAGGAGAGTTTTATATATGTATTCAGACAGATTTGTGGTCTTCATGACTGCATGTGGAGGATTAGCTATTAGTTACTCAACTTTCTAACGCACAATTTAGAGAAACTTATGTGTGGATATTATTTCCACCCTTCTATTACAATAAAAGTATGGGAATTTTTTTTTTTGCCAAAATTACGAGCACCTCCCTGTCAGTGCCTCTTCTTTTTTTCGTTATTCTTTTTTTTTTTTGACTTTTTTTTGTCTTTTGCAACTATCCACCTGTCTAACGACAACATCAGGAAAATCACACATGTTTTCAATTTTTTTTAATAGAGCATACACTATGCTCCCATGGAGTACATTGTGCATCTACTCCCTTAGTCAAAACACTTAACTACGTTGATATTTTTAATCTATAATTTTGGAAACCATACAGAAATTATTAGATGATTATTTTTTGTTAAATATTTTTTTTTGATTTTTGTGACGCTTAGAGCAAGTCCTTCAAAAATTGAATAGTCTCTTTTCAATTTTGAGCCTTTTTTTTTAGTACATAGATATTTTATTTTGGAAATTCTTTTTATTTAGATCCAATTATGTCCACAAACTTTGAGATCTAAAACGTATCCCTAAAATGTGCTTTATTCAAGGGAGTAAATAGATAGTACACCCCTGCAAGACTAAATAATTACACTCTCGATTGGCTCTTCTCTATCAATGTTGACATTGTTGGACGGGCAGGTAAATGTAGGAAAAAAAAAAAAAAACGTCCAAAGGGGGGAGTTGTGTTCATTGTAATTTTGGCAAAAAAAATAGTGAAAAGGGGTGGAAATAGTGTCTGCACATGATTTTTTCTTTCATTAATATGAGTAACCTTTGGAGGTTTTAAATATAGTCAAACATCATTCTAAAACACACCATACCAATATTAAAGAGAGAGGTAGATCCTTGGCTTGAGAGGCAATAAAGAGAGACAGGAAAATTCTTTAACATGCTTTTGAGTGATGCAATGGAGAGAAATCCTTGGCTTGAGAAAGAGAAGAGAGATTACATATAGAGGGATAGAACCTTCACTTGGGATAGAATACAGAAATGAGAAAGGAAGACGTAGAGCCAATGATCGGACTAGCTATCAAATTAGTGAGGGGTCTAGTTTAGTAAAAATTGGTTCTAATACTTGTTCAATTGATTAAATTGGATTTTTTAAAGCAAAAAATTATATAATATTTTAGAGTATAAAAAATGTAAAAAAAGGTACCAAAATTTGTTTGGCTCATCTAATCAATTAAAAACTAAGTCAAACTAGTTAGATCAAATATTGATTTTAACTAGCTTACAACTAAATCCAATTTTCAGTATAAGTAGACTAAGCAAGACACAAGTTAGCAGTCCAATTTACTGATCAATCCAGTCCGATCTTGACAACTACGTATAGAATGAGAGAGAGAAAGATGATCTTATAAGAGAGAGATGGGCAGATCTCATGAGGCGTGTCGGGGTGTGTATCGGTGGAGTTGACCATTTTTCCTGATTTTCTCACCTCTGTTTGCCTTTCTCTCGGCTCCATTTAAATTTAGCCGTAAAGGGAATATAGAAAACAGAAACCTCTTTCCTGTCTCTTCAATAAATAAATGAGTTACGTCAATTCAAATTTTAAAAGACAAGTGTAACCTCAATATTTTTTTCTTGATTTTTGAGAAAAGAGGTAAAAATAGTGGCATGTGGGAGCTTGGTGACAATTCTCTTTTAAGTTTATCTTCTATCCTTTTCTTTATTGAATTTGATTTGATTTGATTTGATTTTTATTTTGTTGAGATGGTGATATCCTAGTAAAGTCAATTTATTGCAATATTTTAATGCGTCAAATTAATATCCGAATAATTTTTTCAATAATAATGTACATGTAAATGCAAAATAAGCTACTTAAAATTTAAAATATATGTCACTTATATTAACCAAATAAAACTCATCAATAAAGATAATTATTATTAAATATTAAGGAGGGGTATTACTGTAATTTTTAATATTATATACAAATATATAATACGATTTTTAGTTTTATTACAAAGAAATCATAATTATTTTTAGCCATTAAATATAAAATCAAATCAAAATATGCAAATGTCGTGGCAACAGCAGGGTCGATCAAATCATCTGTAGGTACATGTCTTGCTTGAATAGAAGTGATGCGTTCCTCTTTTAGTAGAAGTAATTCTTTCAAATCATCTGTAGGTACATGTCTTGCTTGAATAGAAGTGATGCGTTCCTCTTTTAGTAGAAGTAATTCTTTTGTGAAACGAACCTATTTTTGTACTAAGGTAGCCTTTGATAAACTTTCACTTTAGTGTCCTTGGGAATCACCTCTGCTACTAACTTCCTGGATTATGGAATGCAGGTGAGAATTGGTTGGGTGAAAGTTGGAACCTGTTTGATAAACTGTGGTGCTGGTAATTTCACATTTGGCAAGGGGAAAGCTGGAAACTGCATGTACTGTTTATTATGTATTTCATTGATAAGATGTGCGCAATATAATTTTTTTAAAATATTTTATAATTACTCACCCAAAAAAAATATTTTATAATTAAGTAAGGTTCTTTCCATTCATCCAGCATAAATACCAAAATTTACATAAGCATCGAAGAATATTGTCATCAAGTCCATCCCCATTTATTGCTCTCTTTACACCCACATGTTAAATGAAAACTCAAGCATTAGTGACACTTGAGCATGAGGTTTAGAAATAAATATTTAAAAGTTTGAAAAGCTAACCATTCCATATTGTGACCACATTTTGCACTACATATTTAAAAAGTTCAGAGGCTACAAAATATTTTTACCTTGAAACATTCAGCGCAGCTTTGCCATTTTCCATAAGTGTTAAAAAATATCATGAGCAACAAATACATTAACTCAGAGCACAAGTGGAATGTCAGCATCAGCAGAAAAGTAATTTGTTTAAATACACCTGGCTCCTCGGAGCCATATCGTTATTCATAATAGAACTTCAACTTTTTATAATGTAGAAACTCTATGGTCTCATTTTGTTTTCCAAGTAACATCACAAGATTTTCCCAATTCCACTGTGACGAGAACGAAAGATTCATTCCAATTTACACTATGGATTACAAATTGTAATAACGTCTACCCATTTATCTTATCAAATTAATTGCCTCTACCTCTTTATTAGAAGTAAATTTATACCAGCATCCATTGAAACCAATCTTCTGTGCACCTATAGATCAAACCTAATGAAAGAAAACACACCCAATAAGTAAGATTTAATAGGCAAATAAATTTTTGAAATAAAAACTCAAATTTTTTACTGATGAACTCACGATAATGGCAAGAATGAATCTTCCATGCACCCATAACTCAAACCCAATGAAAGAAAACACACCCAATAAGTAAGATAAAATAGGAAATAAATTTGTTAAAATAAATACTCCAATTTTTTACTGATGAACTCAGGATAATGCAAGAATGAAACAGAACGACAATAACATTTAACAATGTCTCAAAAAACAAAAGGAAGTCAGGGTTTTTGTAGGTAGCATTTATTTATTTTTTGAATCAGAAGAAAAAGACGGATAAAAAGAGAAAAGAAAAGCGAAGTTGGAGAATAATAGAACTGAGAAAAACAAGAATGATAGCTAAAGAAAATGGTAAAAACCAAGACCTGACTGTTTTCAAACATCCAATAGGCAAAAAAAAGGTAGCAAAAGCGCAATGAAAAATCAGATACAGAAAATGCACAAGCCAGATAACTTTATGGTCCTTATTAGTTGCAGTGATCCACAATCAGAGAAATAACCAAGGGAGATCACCAAAAGAAAATCGAAAAAAAGGAGAAAGATAAACCCTAAAATTCACCATTTCGAATGACGAGGGGAAACTAGGAAAAAAACAAGGAACAAAATGCAATTTCAGTAGTTGCGGTGATCAACTTGGAGTCCAAAGACCAGAAAAATAAATCCCCATAGAAGAGACATAACCCTAAATTGGTACCAAGGAGGAAGTGATCACAGGTTTTTTTGAATTGAGACACTCCCTCACAAAAATAGACACATGCTAAGTCATGAATTTATCAAAATACCTTATTAGAACAAAGCCTCAATAAAAAGTAGAAAAATCCTTTACTTTTTGGTTTTATTGATCTTGGTTGCAGAGGCTACAGGACAAGATGCAAGGCAGCGACTTTGTAAAAAGGAATAGTAAAAGTGAGAAAAATGGTGTTCCAATTTTCGTACTTGTGTTCGTTATCAAACGGGTGAAACTAACGGCTGGGTCTTATCAAACGCCGCTTAAGAGTAGGTTGATAACCTACGGCAGATGAAGTTCAAACATAAGCATTTTCCAAATAATGATGCCAAGTTGTATTTTTAAAATAAAAAAGGTCAAGACATCGAACGGAATTTGGAATGAAAAACATTTCATATTCTATATATATAGAGAGAGAGAATTAAAGAACAAAAATTCAATTGAGTTATTCAAAGATAACTAGAGAAAAGAGAGTGGGAGAGAGACTTATTCGAGGCCCTGAAAAGGCTTCCAAGCCGCAATTTAGAATTTATTTCATGGGAACGTTAATAACTATATATAATATTTTGCTAAAAAAAAAAATCTATATTATAAAAAACTATATATAATATAGATGTATGTATTATAGACGTATGTATTAAGAGAGAGAAAGATGTATACATTAGAGAAAGAAAGAAATCCGATATTACTCGAGGGCTTGAATCTAGAACTTATATTTCTTGGAAGGAAGGTCGATAGGAGATAGCATTGGGAAGGACAGTGCAGTGGTTTCCGAGGTGAAAGAGTCTGAGCTTTGGGAACTCTCACTCCCCATTTCCTTATTACTAATATATATATATATATATATATACATCTCTCTCTCACTAGAGAGAAGAAGAGCTTTTAACTTCTCTCTCTAGAAACTCAAGAGTACTCCATCTTTCTCTCTCTAAACAAAGAAGAGTTCCTTACCTCTCTCTAAACAAAGAAGAGTCCTTACCTCTCTCTAGACAAAGGAGAGTAGTTCTTCACCTATCTATCCCTCCAGAGAAAGAAGAGTTCTTGACCTTTCTCTCTCCTCATCTCTCTTTCTCTCTCTAGAAAAGAAGAGTTATGCACGTCTCTCTCACTAGAGGAAGAAGAGTTATTTCCCTTGTTTTAAAAAAGAGTTCTTAACTCAATTGAAAGATAGAAAGCTTAAAAGCTTTGTTTCCTTTTGTTTCTCAATCATCTCCAGCTTTAGAAAGTTTAGAGAGAGAGAGAGAGAGATGGAGACTGCTATCACAGCTGCTCTTTGCAGGCAGCCAGGCAGTGTCCATTGGAAGAACGAGGAGGAGCAGAGAGGAGAGTTAGAGAGAGAAGAAGAGAAGCAGGAGTGTAATAGCAATAAGAGAGAGAAGAAGAACAACAAAAAGAATGGGCAGAAGAAGAAGAAAGATGTTTATGTTTCAGTGATCATATTGCAAAAGGACGAAGGCTTCAAGGTTCAACAGATTGAGGAGCCCCACCACCTTCAATGCCACCCCACTTGGGACGAGGTACCTACTCCTCTTTTTGACCCACAATCTCTCTCTCTCTCTCTCTCTCTCTCTAGATTTTCAAACGTGAAGCAAATGACACCAAGCACTAACACCTCTACCCCCTCTGACCCAGGCCCTGGAAGAGCTCAAGTCCATTGCAAAAATCTCAGGTCCTACTGCCCTCAGCACCCTCCTCCTCTACCTGAGGTCCATGGTCTCCATGCTCTTCCTTGGCCACTTGGGCGACCTCCAACTTGCAGCTGGCTCTCTCTCTCTAGGGTTTGCCAACATAACTGCCCACTCTATTCTCACTGGCCTCTCCATGGGCATGGAACCCATCTGTGGTCAAGCATTTGGGGCCAAGAGGTGGTCCCTCATTGCCCTAACTCTCCTAAAAACAATCCTGATTCTCTTGTGTGCAAGCCTTCCAATTGGCCTCATTTGGCTTAGTATGGAGAGGTTCATGCTTTGGTGTGGCCAGGACCATGAGGTCACATCCTTGGCCTCCACCTTTATAATCTTCTCTCTACCTGACCTCTTGGCCCAAGCAATCCTCCACCCTCTAAAGATTTATCTGAGGGTCCAGAATGAAACACTTGCACTGGCCACTTGTGCAGCCATCTCTCTCTCTCTTCACATACCCATCAATTTTTTCTTGGTCTTTGGCCTGGGCCTTGGGCTCAAGGGTGTGGCCCTCTCCTCAATTTGGACAAATTTCAACTTGGTTTTTCTCTTGCTCCTCTATGTGTGCAAGAACGGGGCCCATGGGCCCACCTTCCATGGGCTCAGGCCCATGGACTGCTTCACCAATTGGAAGCCACTGTTGCAATTGGCAATCCCAAGTTGTGCATCTGTGTGCCTAGAGTGGTGGTGGTATGAGCTCATGATATTGCTTTGTGGGCTTCTGAGTGAGCCCCAGCCCAAGGTGGCAGCCATGGGGGTCCTCATCCAAACCACCTCTCTCCTCTACATTTTGCCCTCCTCTCTGAGCTTAGGGATCTCCACACGTGTGAGCCATGAGCTCGGGGCCGACAATCCGACAAGTGCGAGGAGGGCCACGATCGTGGGCCTCATGGGCTCAGCCCTGTTGGGGCTCTTCTCCATGGGCTTCGCCACCTCGGTTTTGCATGTGTGGGGGCTCATGTTCACACGTGAGAGGAGCATTTTAAGGTTGATTAGCCAGGCTTTGCCCATAATTGGGCTCTGTGAGCTCTTCAATTGCCCTCAAACAAGTGGGTGTGGTTTGCTTAGGGGGTGTGCTAGGCCGGGCCTGGGGGCCTATATAAACTTGGGCTCATTTTACTTGTTGGGCTTGCCTGTGGCTGTGAGCCTGGCTTTCTTTCTAGGATTAGGGTTTGTGGGCCTGTGGCTTGGGTTGCTCACAGCTGAGGCTTGCTGCCTCTTGCTGATGCTCTTGGCTTTGGTGAACACGGACTGGACTGCTCAGGCGGCTCGAGCGAACAGCCTTACTGGTTCCGAGACCGAGCCCCTCATCTTGGAAGGTGAGGACCGGGTCAACTTTGCTTGAGGGTTGAAGATCGATCGATCGGACGATCTCTCTCTCTCTCTCCCTCCCTCTAAATACTTCACTTAAACGTTTAGGTTATCTCTTTTTCTCTTCTATCTCTCTCTCCCTCTCACACACACACAAAACACACATTAAAGGTTCGAATTCTCTCTCTCTCACTCTCTCTCTCTCTCTCCACTCCACTGAAAGGTTTAAGAGCTCTCTTCTCAACATCATCTCTCAACTCCACTGAAAGGTTTAAGCTCTCTCTTCTCAGCTTCATTTGAATGATCTCTGAGTCTCAACTTCACTTGAGTCTTGACTAAGCTCTCTCTCTCTCTCTCTCTTCTGGATCAGGGTGACGCTTTTTTCTTGGTCGTTTCTTTTTCTTTTGTATTTCTTACGGTTTCTCGCGCCTTTTGTGGGCTATGTTTATATGCAATAAGTGTGCATGCATTCTATTTTATGAACATATGAAGTCGATGACATAAGGTTGGGATTCCTTTTTCCTTCTCCTTTATTTTTTCTCTCTATTTTCTCTAAAATGCTCTCTTCTTTGTATACTTTTTTGCTTTGTAATTTTATTGCTTATTAATGCTATAATAAATGTGAATGAGTTATAATTGATTCTCTCTCTACTTAAAAAGCTTCATCCTCTCTCTCTTTCTCTCTCTGTGAATTATCCACTAATTCTTGAGCTAGTGGTCCCTATTTTTTATACAAGGCCCTGTAACTTTTTCAATTTTTAAAAATATGATATATGAGGATTAAATATTTTGTTAGTAATTCATTCCATTTAAGAGAACTTAATTTCCCAAACTATTCTTATTTATAGGATGTGGTTGTGTGAGGCTGCGGCAATAAAAAGTAAAGTAGAACTTCATAACCCCATCATACAAATTTCACTAACAAAAATCCTTGCTCCAAAAATTTTGTATCACGAAAGAAGGATAATGAGTGACCAAAAACATTAAGTACAGTTAAAAAATACCCATATATGGATGGGATTTTATACAATAAGATCATTTACATTTGGCAAGGGGAAGTCACAATTTCTTACAACTGTCTGATGTGAAATTTGATTGCTTATACCCATATATAGATGGGATTTTGTACAACAAGACCATTTCCATTTGGCAAAGGGAAGTCACAATTACTTACAACCGTCTGATATGAAATTTGATAGCTTGGGTGTATTATAAAGTTCGAGAAAATTTTTTCATTTACATTTGGTAAGAGGAAATCACAATTGCTTATAACCGTTTGATGTGAAATTTGATAGCTTAGGTGTATCACAAAGTTCGAGAAAATTTCTCCATTTACATTTGGCAAGAGGAAGTCACAATTACTTACAATCGTCTGGTGTGAAATTTGATAGCTTGGGTGTATCACAAAGTTCGAAAAAATTTCTTTTGAATTTTGAGCTCAGTCAATGAAATCAATGCAGCAACCAAATTTCATATCTTATTTTTTTTTGGGTAATTTAATAGGGAGCTTCTACCCTTTTTTTCAATCCATTAGGGAGTTACATTTTGAAGGTGTTAATTGGGGGTGTCAGTAAGAATGGATACCATGATATGGTAATTGGGTGAGTCAATGGGGGATTTGGGCCCCTGCCCTTTGGTAAGAATGGAGTCAGAGACCTCACCATAGAGCTAATCAATACTACCGTGAGGCCCCAAACTCTTCTTCTCATCATATACTTTCCTTGAATAGAAATACCCTAACAAAACCCCTTCTTTAATTTCCAAGTGCAGACTTGTTAGGGTCTTTATAAGAAGCTTTTATCAACAAATATGGAAATCATACATATTAAGTGTTTATACACGTTGGGCCAAGTCGAAAAGGCCTATGCGGTATGCGACCCCATATACATTAGGACTTTAGCTGTGAAAAATAAAACAATTAGGACTATTTTTTGTATCCATATTAATGTGGGTCTGATAAGGGTAATACATTTTTTTAAAGCTTTCTCTTTAACTCATCACAAGCTCGAGTAAAAGTGGTGGGTTGCATTAGGTAGACAACTAAAATAACTTTACCACATCTTATCATGAATCCTTAATCTATGAATGGTAGAGAAACATGATTTATGTAGCCAACCCTAATAATTGAAATAAGATTTTGGATTATAATGATAATTAATTTAACTATAATAAATTAGGTTATTTTGATGAAGGGATAGGATTACTATCCTAGGAACCTTGAAATTTACCAAAAATACCATTGCCCCCCTATATTTGCATACCTTGGCATATTAAGTAAAATAAATGATTTTTGAATATAGTTGTTTCCAATGCCTAATTTGAAACTAGGGAAACAAAATTGTCAAAATGCGCTTTTTGCATCTTCTATGCGTCACTATGAAGCGACTTTTGTTGCATTTGGCTACAAACGTTTTTTTATTTTCTAGAACACGCAAGTACATGTACGCACATGAAGTAAGGTCACAGTCACCCGTGATTGTCGGATGTGAAATATTCGATAGTTAAAATGTATTACTGAATGTACTTAATTGCACTCAAAGTCCGGGAAAATATATCTCAAGTTTTGTATTAAAAATAATAAAGATCAACCTTACTATTTTATATTTAAGCACCGAAGCTGCCTATTATCTTCTTGCACTAAAAGTAAAAGTCTTAGGATCAAGCTGGTCACCAATTAGACAAGGGGTTTGATTTCAAATCTAATCCACTTATTAGTCAAATCGATTGGACTGTATTTTAAAAAAAAAATAAAATCCGATACAATAATTAAAAATGTCAATCATATTAAAAAATTTAAACAACTTTATTTAGCTAATCAAATCCATTAAAACCATCCAGTCCAACCGATCAAATATCAATTGATTGGGCTGTATTTTTTCTTATTTGAAAATTGAACAAAATTGTTCTCGAACTTCAAGCACACCCTTGCTTCAAGATTTCAATATGGGGATTACTTTTTTATTCTAAAGGTGGCCGGCATACTTCCCCTATTCTTACACTTTAGGACTGGGTTTCCATAAGTCAGCCGACTCATACTGTACATATGCGGGCTCCTTATCTTAAAAATAGATTTTTAATCCAAAGTTTTGCTGCACATGATCTAGGTCATGAAAATAAAATAAAATTTCTAATAGTTAAAATCCCATTTTTTAAGTAAAATTTCTATGCTGTCTGAATTCATTTTAGCCCCATGGAAATTTTACAACATCCATCTTGCCCATTGGTGAGCCCGCTGATTCATGAGTAACTTTTCCTATAATTTATTCAAAAGAATCAAATTTTACTTTTGTAGAATCGCACATGAAATTTAGAGGATGTTCAGAGTTTTTATCGGGTTGGGGTCAATCCGACCTTGTTCGGAGTTCTGCTCCTTAAAATGGACCTACGGATTGAGTGTGGGCCCATTTGACCTGTACCCGACTAGGGTCAGTCTAGGCACAAGTACAACATGGGAAATTTGGATCAATCGACCTTACCCAACATATATACATACGTGATATTTTGAAGTATACCCACCTCGAATCGGCATGTTGGGTACTATTCCAATTGACCTAACCCGACCTGGGTCCAAGCCAGGGTCGGCTCGACCCAAACCTACCCCACCACATTTTCTTAAAACAAGATGTCTGGGTCCACGCTCAGCCATTTTTGTCAAAAGGTCAATAGCCCTCACTTCTAAACATTCAATGGCCCACTTGAGTCTCATCAACCTTCCTAGAAATCCTTAAATAAAGATAAAAGTACAATAATCATAAGACCAAAATACAATAATTATGGAGTGCGTTTCATATTCATTCCTCCTTTTCCGGATGGGATATTCAATCCTAATGCTTCTTTTGTACGGGTGAGGTTTGCATTAGCTTGTTAGGTCAAACAATCAAAGATGCATCTCCAAACTTTTTCATTTTTCATGATATTCAAATTTGATTTTTCATGATATTCAAATTTGGAGTCAAATTGTGATAGGGCGTTGCGAGAATCTATTTTTATTTCTAACTATATTATTTTTTCATAATATTCAAGTTTGGCGTCAATTTATTTTAGGGTGATGTGAGAATCTATTTTTATTTCTAACTATAATACTAAATAATTATATTAGGGTGCTTACATGATAGAATAATTTATCATTGTATCCAACAAATTTTGAATACTTATATTCTATTGTTTTGTACAATGAGAATCTTTTTTAATAAGGTTATTTTTTATCATTAAGATGAGTGTGACATCATCTACATAAGATGTGACATTACCAATGTGGAATATAATAGTGACATTTAATGCATCATGTGGGTGATATCACACTCATGGAGATAATGTCATATCCCTCATAATGACTAAAAACACCCTTATTAAAAGAAGCTCAATGTACAAAACCAATATAAAAGTGTCCAAATTTTGTTGAGTATAATGATAAAAACTCTATAGTGTGAACACCTTAAATAAAGAAAATTAGGAAAGGGGTACACATTTATTCTACAATTTAAGTTGTCAACTTCATATGAACTTTTTCCTTCACAAAATAAAGAAAATTAGCAAAGGGGTTGGGGTCATAGTGGTAGCATCCTACACCCAACTACTACATCGTGGTATCCATTACTACTATTGGCACTTCCAATTAACACCTTCAAAATGTAACTCCCAATTCTATTGAAAAAAATGGGCAGGAGCCAATCTTCCCCATTGAATTACCCTAAAAATAAAAACAATAAATTAGAGGACGACCTTCGTAGCAAATTCTATCTTCTCCACTGAATTACCCTAAAAAAAAAATTGGAGGACGACCTTGGTAGCAAATTGTACACACTCTCTCGGGCAAAAAAAAGTACCGTACACTTATTCTCTCGAGGAAAAAAAAAAATACTTCGATGGATTCTTTCTATTTCAATCTTGGGATCTACTTTAAGATTATCATAAATTGGTTTAAAGACATACATTTTAGATTTTGAGTTCTGAAACAATCATTCAAAAAATCAAATCTCTCTTCAATCTTTGGCCTTTATGTTTTTCAAGCACATCGAGATTACTCTCTTTTTTTTTCCTTTTCTTTTTGTCAAGTCTCATTGGCCGGGTTATATCCTCGAAATTGAGTGTTCAAATACCACCTAGATGGTATTTAGCCGTGGGAGTAAATACACAGTATGATCCCGCAGGTTGGATTATAGGATGGTGCAACCGTATATACTTTTACATTGGAATGTAGAAGAGAAAAAGGCGCATGCAAAGGTTTCAATGTGCCTCATAACACCATCTAAGGCAATGAAAGGAGACCATCAAAAATGTTATATATTAAGGAAAAGGACAAACAAAAGTTTATAGAAAGAAGAACAAAGTGTTTTTTTTTGTTTGGAAAAATATGCCATGCATCACGTCGTTTAGCAAAAGGACGTCCACCGTCCATTCCACATGTGGAGGATGGTGTCATGTGTTGTACCACATACCATATTTGACTTGGGTATTGTAATACTTTTACCTAAGAATTTAAATTGGGCAAACCATGTAATCCCTAAGTATCTTTTGTTATGCTCCCCAAATTTATTTTTGGAGAGAGAGAGAGAGAGCGAGATTTTAGGGTTCTAAATAGGTTGGTTAAGTCGCGGTCAACCTTGACCCAACCCCATCAGGTCTAGGTTAGACACTTGA